TTCGAGACAACAGATGGAAAAGTTTACTTTACCCTACCACCGACCAACATTATATAGAACATCTCATTGACTTAGAGTCGAAATATTCTAAACTTTACAAACAAACACAAAAAGTTGAAAGGAAAACAAAAACAAATGGCATATGATATTTATGAAGATGTTGACGACACAACCATACCTGCAAGTGAAGTAAAGTCAGGTGAACCGAAAAGTGACGAAAGACCGATAGATAGAAGAAGGGAGCCAAAAACTGAAGATAAACCAAAACCAAAGTTTAGTTTGGAAACTAAACCAAGTCAACCTTCATTAGCTGGTATGGGTTGGCGTCAAAGACTTCTGGTAGCAGGCGGTTATGTTAAGTAAAGAAAAAAAATATTTTTTTATTTTTATAAAAATGCCCCATATAGAATGGATAGAAAGTCTGCTAGAATAAAAGCAGAGTTAGAAAGATATGGTTGGAGAGTTTCAAAGAAGTTTAAATATAGGAAGGGAAGACCCATAAAAGTCTATGACAAACTGGCTGGTCTGACCTACGAAATGGACTTGAAACAGCACGCGCCAATTATCCAAACAGACTAGAGAGGTTAGAAGAAGAACGTCTTATGGACATGCCTTTCGATGTTAGTGAACCTCAGTTGAAGGACACGACGGCTTTGCCAGGTTCTACTGGAAACATGACGAACAATTGCATCCTTTGAGAAGGAAAAAAGGTAGTGCAGAGGATGGTCATGCTCCCATGGAAAGAACAAGATATGCATATGAAAGTATCGTGAAGTTAGAAGTCAAATTACATCTGGTCGAACCTTTACAGTAAACTTTGACGAAGGAAAGAACAAAGAAGGCTTCATGGGAGTACTTGCTGCAATTCAAGACGGAAATAAGAAAGGATACAATCTCAGATTGACCATAACAGATTTGGATGGTCACATTTACTATGCACATGGCAATGTCACAACAGCCGCACAACTTCTTGACGCTTTCAAGACTACAAAGAGAGAACAAATGGTTGACTCCGACTCAGACATTTTGAATGCAATTGAAGGAATTGCAAGTGTCAAGTTCGAATGGTACCAACCTAACCCCTCAAGCAGTCAGACAACATGCTGGATACTTCCCGTTCATAAATAAGTCTGACATTGACTTGACAAGGTATGGAATTTACAATTCAATTGAAACAATTGTCAATGAACCTTGCATTCTTACATGTCTCAGGAACTCTGGTCTTGTTACAGATGAGAAGATGAAGTATCTTGAGTCATGTGTGAAGACAAGGTACATTCTCAGAGGTCAATTGGCAAAAATTGCACCGTTGGCAAATGTCAATATCCGAGTCAACATACCTACAGCTAAAGGTTCTTCACATGACGACTATGTTGTTGAGTTCAATTTACCATGGTTGAAGATTGCAATTGTCCACAACCACTTCATGTTGAACGAAAGTCTTACAAACCCATTGTTCGGAAAAGGTAAGTGCAACATTGTCAGAGCTGTTAAATTCTTTTCGAGAAAGGTTTGTTGGAACCAATTCCAGATGACAAGCTGACAGAAACTTTTGTACCAAAAGACGAAACAAACTTTTCATTGTTGGTAAGACCAAAAGTTGTTCCAGACAAAGTTCTAGCACAAAAGAAGTACACAGCTCCAAAAGGAGTTGGATTGTTCGGATACCAACCTGAACCAGAAGAACTTCCAATGAGGTTGCAAGAACTTCAAGATGCTATAAACAAACTTCCATTGAGACATCCAATTGACGTCAAATTGTATTGGAGAGCATCTGAGTTAGGTCAGAAGGTTTTATATGAAACAGGTTGCTTCGACGATGTTTATGAGATAACAGGAGAAGTTTCTCAGAAGATAAGAGACTCACTTGAATTTCCACGAAACTGGACCGATTGGTTGCGACAAGTTCGACTCAAACGAAAAGATATACTATGTCGACCTTAACGCTGCGTACATGAGGTTTGTCCAATATATTCCAACTGGAATTCCAAACGAAGATGGTGAGTTCCCGGGAAGGAACTATACAGTTGGAAAAGTCATACAACAACTGTATGATATTAGGAAAGCTTCAAACCCCAAACTTGCAATGACACTCAAATTGCTTATGAATTCGACATGGGGATATTCCATTAAAAAACCTCAAGAGATGAAGAGTAAACATTATGAGAAGGTCGACAACTTTGTTGAAAGGTTTTCTCCTTTTGTTTTGAAGTACGAATTTACTCAAGGTCAAAGTGGCTTAGTAACCACATTAAAACCTATTGTCGAACATTGGTCTTACCCTCAGTTCGCAAAAGCAGTCCTTGACAGTACAACAAATTCTTCTCCGAAGTCAAATCCAAAGTGAAGGTTTACTATGAGAACATCGATGCACTCATGACGAACGAAGAAGGGTATAACAAACTCATTGAAATGGGAATGGTCGGTGAGAAGATGGGTCAATTCAAATTGGACAAAATTTTCACCGAAGTTCATGTCCTCTCCAAGCGTAAGTACTGGGGCATACTTGAAGACGGCACAGAAATAAAACATTGCATGAAATAAAAAATTTTTATTCGAATTTGAATTAAAATGTGGGAATTCTTGGGAACGGGAAAGGCTTATTTACTTGAGGAACAGGTAAAGGTGGTGGAGGTGGAGGTGGTGGCAACCAGTCCATTTTATATTCCTTCCTAGCTAATTTCCGTTTAATTTCATGGTCGCCCTCGGAGTCTTTGAATCGGACAGGTCGAGTTACACCATTCTTGGTCTCAAACTCATATATAACCTGTTTGTCTGTATTTTCGTCGACTATGGCACGAGACACGAACATTGACCAAACGGACAAAAAGTGTCATTTCGGATGGTCAAGCAGCCAATCGCATTCGAGCACTTCGAAGAAGCCTTACGTTCCAAGGGAGAGGGTGTCTGGTGCAAGGCAGAGGTCATGAAACTCTACGAGCAGTACATCCTCAATGCCTGGGAGGACAAATCGTCCTTGGATTGGCAATTCTACCAACTCCTCTGGGACGACCTCCTACGCAACTGGGATGACGAAAGAGTCCTATTCAGAGGTCAGGAACTACTTGTCCAAATTATCCTTAATTTAAGCCGCTTACGCAACTAAAAACTTAAATTTACTTGGGGTTTCCCCCTAAAATAAAATTTTTTTACTCTTAGAACCACTCGAGGTTCTCCTTACGGTTGTTGAGCTTGTCACCGTCAATGTGTCTGACCCTCGTCTTCTTGTTTGGATTTGGAACCCATTGCATACCGACAAGCCTTCCCATGGAAATTGTACCGTAATTCCGAAGGGTAAGTTCAAGTGTCCCAAGTTGTTGAGGACTGGGGTAAGAACCTTGCCGGTCCCCTGTTGCGGATTTTGTATGGGTAGGGTTGTGAAATTTCGTAAGCGTCATCGGCAACAAGGGTTGCCCAAACTTCCTTTTTCTTCGTGTTTCTCTTCTTCGTGTTTCTCTTCTTCCTCTTCTTCCTCTTCTTCCTCGACAATTCCTTCTTCAATTTGGTACTCACGAAGTACGGTGTTGCATGTTCTGTCCTTTCCGAGTACCTTCCAGATGGCGTCTATCTCTTCGAAGAAACGGTAGATGAGTCTGGCAAGGTCTCGGTTCTCTCTCTCGTAAATGCGCAAGGTTTCCGCTAAATCGTTCAGGATTTCTCATTGGAAGCTTGGTTCATGAGGAATCACTTTAGATTTCATCTCTTCATAAGACTACTTTGGAGAGTCTTAACGGTGTTTGTCAGATGAGCTTTCAATGGGCAAATTTGAATTTGAACTGGGCGCTTGTCTGGCAACCTTGAAAGGACATCTTCCATTGAGTTTGGCTTCGGTGCTTGTTCGGACATCGAAAAAATGAAGTGGTTTGAGAATGACGGTTTTACTTCAAAAAGCTTGTTATGACGGTTAAGTCATACAACAAGTTTAAAATAATATCTTGTTCTTCTTCTGAACGTTTGTTGTCTCTTCCGATAAAAGTTTCGAACATGAGAACCAAAAAACGTTTTTTGAGATTGCGGAAGAGTTCAGGCAAACGTTCATATTCTGGATATGTTGGGAGCAGTTCGAAACATCTGAGCTGACTTTCGGACAAAATTGGGACAATGTCAGAAAATTCATCTTTGGTCGGACTGCTTGAAGGTAAGTCCCTTACATGTAAGTAGCTCTGGTAAAGTCTTCTCATTTCTGCTAACTTTTGGAGTATAGCTTCGTAGTTTAGAAGTTTTAATTTTAAATGTCTTATTCCACTCTTGACATCTAAACGGTAACTATCCATGAGGTCAAGAGTAGCTTTGGTAGCTTTAAGTGGAGCTATCTGTTCCTTGACTTGTGCAATTTTGGTTGCAATTGTGATTTGAGCTCCTTCAAGTTCGCCGTCTATGTCGTTCTCAACGTCTTCAACCATGGCTTGAAACTCTTCATCGGTCCATTGAGATTGGTGTGGGACGAATTTAACTTGCTTCATTCAAAAAATGAAAAAAAATGTTTTTACTCTAAACGTTAAGGTTTACTGAACTGGTTGGATGTCGCCTTCACAGGTTATGTAGAAACGGCTGACCCGAGAGAGTGAAGGAGAGACTGAATTGCCAATTTCATATGGGGTAGGGGGTTCTCCTTGTTTGGTATTTTTATCCATGGACGTTTGCAAAGAACTTAACAAGAGCTTCTCTTTTGGCGTCCTTTATGCCATCGTAGGCTGTCCCGTCTGGTATTTGAATTGGAATTCCAGTCGAAGTCTCGAGCTGAAGTGTAGACCTTCCAGAAATAGTGGTGTACTTGACCTTGGGCTTCATGACCTGCGCAAGTAGCTTTTACACAACTTATTTCATTAGGTAAATTGCCTCGTCAAATCCTTCTGGCATTCCGAGTCCTTCCATCCGACAGGAAAATATTTTCCGGACAAAGGGAAAAATTTTCCCGACGACAGGAAGAACTCTTCCAGTTGTCCGTCCGTAAACCATTCAAATTTTCGAAAATTGAGAACTTTTTCGTCGAACTTCAGAAAAGTTCTTCCTTCCGACAGGACACAAACGAAGTCCGACAGAAAAAGTTCTTCCTTCCGACAGGACACAAACGAATGTCCGACGTCCCACCAACCGAGCCGATTCCCAAACCAGAAGAACCGACAGCCCCAGCGCCACAACAGTCTCCTCAGCAAGTCCCTCACCAAATTACTACAATTTCCACCTCAAGGTTACTACCAATTTCCACCTCAAGGTTACTACCAATTTCCACCTCAAGGTTACTACCCCCACAAGGCTTCCCGAACTACCCTCCTCCTCAGCCTATGCCTTACTTCCCCAACCCTTGGTTGTTCCAGCAAGCTCCACCCCAGCAATCTCAATCTCAATCTCAATCGAAGAGAGACCAAGACTTCGAAGAAGGTCTGAACCGCTTACGCAAAGAGTATGCCACAGCCCCGATGGAAGATGACAGGCTTTCAGTCTCTTCCCTCAAATCGACCGATTCGACTCGTACCACAGATTCGGTTCGTGACCGTGAAGACTACCTCAAGCAGTCTGAGAGACTCTTCATCCTACAATCATTTACAGTTGGAGCTCTCAAGAACATGCGCAATTACGAAGGTCAGACACCAGCTGGAGACCGCAAAACAGACGTGCTTACAAGAGCAGTCCAACTGGTCAAGACAAAGACTGAGATAGTCGACTTCATTCTTGCAGCTTGCCCATACAAGTAAAAAAATAAACAATTACGAGTTAAACTTTTTATTCTTTCTTTTCTGAGTTGTTTAGAGCTGGTTTCTCTTGTAGGAACCTTTCGTACTCTTCCATGGTCATGTAATTGCGAATTTGGTACGCAATTCCAGGTTCGTTGTTTTTGAACCTTACGTATGTAACGCTTCCATCCTCCTCAGGGAAGTAAGCTGCTAACATCTGACCAAGTTTTCTCGGTGACTCGGAGCTCATAAAAATGTCACTTTTTTAAACCTTAAGTTTTTAGTCTTATTTTACCCTTTGTTTACCCTTTGTTTACCCTTTGTTTGTCAATGTAGTATTGGAGTGCAATTTCTCCAAATTCTCTGTGTCGGAGTTCTTCAGCATTTTCCAAGGTGTGCCTGGAGAACTCAAAGAAGTTGTCAAGAACATACTGCCATGCTGCTCTTCTGAGTTCGTCGGTATTTTGGAAGTGTTGCACCTTCGAGTCTTCGGACATGAAAAATAACACTTTTTCTATTAAACCGTTTTGGCATTTCTCATGAGTGAGTATAGTTCTGCCGAACCATTGGAAGAGAAGAAGTACCCTTGCTGGCAAAACAAAAATAGTTGCCTTAGTTGTCATTGCAATTGTACTCGTAATTGAATTCATTGTACTTCTCTTCACGTACATAAAACTCAGCAATGGTATTTGCTTTAAGAAGCTACCATCTTACTAAGACTAAACACTTACATTTTTCAAGCTTGACTTTTTACAATTTGAATTTTGTTGCTGAATTCAGCAAAAATAATGTTTATGTTAGAATGTTAGATCTAACATGTTTTCTAACACGTTTTCTAACATGGTCTAAAACTCTTGAATTTTCATGAAATTTACACCAAAAATATAATTTATGTTAGAATGTTAGATCTAACATGTTTTCTAACACGTTTTCTAACATGGTCTAAAACTCTTGAATTTTCATGAATTTTCCCGAAATAAAAAATAAAATTAGTTTTATTTTTTATTTTATTTATTTTTTTTATTTTGTATAAAAGACATGATTTCAACAATCGGCACAACAACAATTCAAACAACTACAGCACCAAACTCGCTAGTTATGAATCCAACATCTATGTTAGTAGAGATGAAAAACTTCATTCCTTCTTCATATACTTTCGAAACAAAAATCCAGAAGATAAAGCAAGAACTTTTAACAAGTAATTTAGACTGTAGTGCGAAAGATGAAACAAATGAACAGTATCTTTATGAAATGCAGGACATTATTGACCATTTACCCAAATTGCCTGAAATCCAACAACAAAAACTAACCATTCCCGAATTTGACGAAATAGAAGTCAAAGCAACTGACTCAGTAGAAATAAAGAAGTTCATACGAAAGGTAAATTATGAATTCCTTGGTTTTCATTGCAACCATAAGGTTATGGACAAAGATTGCGACATGGTATATAAGAACATCTCTGACCTTTACAAATCCGAAGAATTTAAGACCTACGACAACTTTGTTTCATTAGTTGCAAAATGTGTTTGGGAAATAAGAGATAAAGAAAGTAGGGGTAAGGTATGGAACGAACAAATAAGACCCGCTATGTTCGAGATGAAGAAAACCATTGACGCCTTAGTTGTTTTAGCAGGTAAGGTTTCAGAATATAACGCAAAAATGAATCCGCAATGTTCAAAATGTAAAGCAGCAATGAGGAAATATAACTACTCCGTCAAAGAGATAGAACGTATGCGAAACGACTATGCAGATTTAAAGAAAGAAGCAGAAAAACCAGCAGAAGATAAAATGAACATGTTAGAATTTCTGAACAAAAACTATCCAACTGCTGACGATTTCCTTCTATCTGACGTCAAGAAGAAGTATAAAGAAACTTTCGGTATCGTTAAAACTTTTGACATACTGACAGAAGAAATAGAAGCTACGAAATTGTTTAGAGTCATGAACCATCGCAACATATACCATGTAAAACGCTTGTAAATAGTTATGTTAGAAAACATGTTAGAAAACATGTTAGATCTAACATTCTAACATAAACATTATTTTTGCTGAATTCCGTATGAAATTTCATGAGTTTTGTATGTTTTAGACCATGTTAGAAAACATGTTAGAAAACATGTTAGATCTAACATTCTAACATAAACATTATTTTTATTGAATTCCGTATGAAATTTCATGAATTTCCTCATATGCTTGCTTCCCTCGGAAAACCGAAAGAAGAACAGCGAGTAGGGAAGAAACCCCAGTCGCCAAAACTCTATGAAAACAGTGAAAAATAACAGAGTATTTTGACAACTTCAAACAAGCAGAGTAAATTGCACTCTTTATTTTTACGCTTGACTTTTTACAATTTGAACTTTGTTTGCGTAGATATGAATTCTGAAAGAAGTATGAGGGTCTTGTATGACTTTGTACTTCTCCCATAGTTCATGTCTGTCAAACTTACCTGCCATGGACTCTTTCATAAGTTCCATGAAATCGTCTTCGGACAATCCGGGGAAAAGTACAATGTCAGTAAGTATTCTCTTTACATCCTTACTTAAACTCTTGCTGTCTGTACACAAATGACAACTGAGATGTTAAAGTGTCTGAGCTTCTTAAGAATTCGACACATGTCTTGTTCTCTATTCTTTAACAAAGGATGAGAAGCAAAGTCATCTAAGATAAGAAGACATCTATGAGGGTAAGTCTTCCAATCGTAAGATTGCAATTTCTTCGAAATGTATTCTATCTCTTTCTGTTTGTTTCTGAAGTGTTTCTTCTCTAATATTCTCTGCATTTCCTCATTTGGGTCTTTAAACTTAGAATTTATATACTCATTTATAGCATTGTACTTCAAAACTCTTCTTTGGTACTTCTTTATCCAATCTAACAACTCAGAGTCTTTTATACATACTAACTTAGACTTTTTTAATATCTTTGAACGAATTGACGGTTTGGTCAAATTGACCAGAAAGTACTACAAATAACAACTAACTCATAGAATGGGTTTCTTCTCATCTAGTTCTTGTTGTTGTGCAGCCATTTTAAGATAAGTGAAAGTCTTACCCGACCCAGGTGGTGCAATTAGACCTGTTATACCATTCTGAGCAAATAAGAACTTGTCATGTAATAGGCTTTATCTGAGCATTTTCTAACTTCCTCTTGTTCTTGTTTAAAACATTCTCAAATTTCTTGTCAATGTCAGCAAACTTTTTTTCTAACATATTTTTTAGAAAAATTAAAAATTTTATCTTTTAGGAAATGTCTAGCGATTTCGCTATCTATATTCGAGACAAGCTTTTCGACAGCAAAACATCTGTAGACCATAAAATCTTACATAGTGTAAACAAGAAAGGTGAATTTGTTCTAAAGTTCTGTTTCTGGGAATATGACAAGAACCATAAAACATTAAGCAGAGAAGTCTTAAAATTTGTCAATGACAGACTTGTTGACAGAGATGACGCCGATTGGAAAGCTGAAGTCCAACAAAAGTTCTTAGAATGCAAAAGACACATGCGCTGTTCTTGAAGATGAAATAGAAAACAGAATAGAAGAGCTATTAAAGGACAAAGACCTTTTACAAAATATGGTTCTGAGAAGTTTGACATAACTCCACCAGAGAAGAAGAAGAAGAGAGAGAAGAAAGAAAAGAAAGTAGAAGAAGAGAAGAAAGAACCTGAACCAGAGAAAAAGAAATTTTGACATGTAAAAATAAAATTTTATTTTTAGAACATTTCTGGGTCAATGTCAATGTTCTCTTCCTCTTTAGGAGCAAACACTGGCTTAGACTCTAAAATCTTTTTACCCAATTTACCTTGAACTTCAACTATCTTAGACTCATAATATTCATAGTCGTCTGCTTTCTTTGGTTCATAAGGTATAACAAGTTTGTATGCTTTGCCTTCTTCGAGTTTTGAGAACTTTCTGTCAAAATTTTCTTTGACTGTCAACATACCGTCAATGTCTAAGTCTTCAAATTTCGCACCATTTTTAGTCACAATAGCAAACTTAACTGGTTCGATGTTCCAAACTTTTGTCAAATGTAGACTTTTCAAAATGGTAGAAGTAAACATTCAAATATGCGAATGGGTCTAGTTCTTCTTTGACTTCTGTCATGTACTTGTTTACTGAGATGAATTTTGCATCTTTTCTATCGGATAAAAAAATATTTTTTTAAAATTTACTCAGAAAAAATTTTTCTTTGTATATACGCCGTTCTGAACATCTAAAAGATTTTTGACATTTGCCAAGAAT